CAAGATTGTGTCACCTGTAAATCTTAGGAAGAAAAGTTCTTGATAGTCCAGCCTTTTCCTAGAGCTGCTGCCCTAAATCCAGCCTTCCGAAGGGTGAGAAAAAGAAATGTCTTCTTTGAAGACACTCACTTGTAGTATGTCTTAACCATACAAAGAACCCAAGACAGCTTATCAGAATTTCAAACTCCATCTTTTGGCTGAGAAACCTCACTCAGAACTGTCTTTAAAACATGTGTGATGACCTAAACCCTTTGCATTGGATTAATTCCAACACATAACAACTCTACAGGACAAAGCAGAACTGCCTCACAGTCCACAAAGAGCAGCCAAGCACTTCACTGCCTTTGCTGGGGCTGTGTGACAGGCCACCCTATTCGTTACAGCACAGCCTGTGATGGTGCAACAGTGGGAAGGACCTGAGTGCCTGACCCTGAGGTACTGTCCTTATGTGCTTGTGGAAACAAGACACACCAATATCTGCAACAGATGGAGAATAATGGGAGGTGAAGAACAGTTCACCATGTTGAGAAAATAGTAAAACCTTTACCTATTTGCTTTGAGTTAGTCACTCCAGAAACAGCACTGAGCCAGGACTTTTCAAGGTTCCTGTCCTGTGGAAAGGAGTAGTACGGGTGAGATCAGAAGGGAGTATAAACCACCCTCCCAGAATGCTGCCTAGGGACTCTTCCCCATGTTTGTGCAGTTCAGTCCTCTGCTTAGCACCCACACTTAAGGCAGAACACAATGGCCTGGCTTCACTTTCCAGCCCTGGCTGCCCAGCATGGTCTCCTTCCCTTGGGCTGCTGGGGCCTTGGTTGAGTGTGTGAGCTGTTGCTTTGGTGATGGTAGAGTGGTGACAGGCCATGATGAAAAGGGGGAGGTATCTCACCTCTGGACCACTAAGTTGGGTGCCAAGCCCTTTCTGGGGTCTGAGGGTAGTGGGCCTCAGAAGTGCCAGTGACCAGTCAAGGTGGCAGAGTGAAGAGTTGTATGCCTGCAGCCTGAGGAGCATGGGGCATGTGTGACCAAGCTACAAGGCCCACAAGGCAGAGACAGCTTTCAGCTCGAGGGGGCTGTGCAGGAATTTGACTACCTTCCAGAACAGCAGTAGGCCTCTGGGTACGTATGTGTCCAGGGTGACATGGAGTTGGGCATGGGTTGGGGCCAGCAGAGTCCAATCCTCATGGGGATCCCCAATTCTGGCTGCACAGCTGACCAAAATCCTACCTTTTCAAGCTGACCAGATATAAAGGCTTCTCTGGGGTAACTCCTGTTAGCCCCTTTCCACCTGTCAAAGTTGATGGTTTATTTCTATTAAAAGTCAAGAATTTCCCTCCAACTCAAGTGAATCTGGAGAGTTTGGTAAAAATCTCTCACAAGGTTGTTACCACACACAACGGTGGTAAAGAATGCACTGGGGACTGGTGAGTTATGGCTTGCCTGGTGGCAGTGAGTGTGGATTGGGTTTTCAGCATCCTCTCAAATAGATTCCCCTTGGGTCATTAAAAAAGAAAAAAAATGCAGGCAGAGAGAAATACCTCACCCCAGAGGCTGTAGATTTCCAGAACTTGTGCTTGAAACCCCTAAACTCTTATTAGCTCATGCTGAACCAATGTTTAACCCAAGCTTTCAGGGAGCTGAGGGAGAAAAAAACCCAAATTCTCCCTGGTGGTGCTAGGGAAGACCAGGATGAGCTTCCCATGGTGGCCACAGCCCCAAGGCACTGGTACCTGCTTTAGCTTTTGCAGGAGGTCAAGTAGGGGACTCTGGATAATGCCTGAGCATGGGAAGGGTCCACATAAAATCCCACTCTGTATTATCAGCACTGGTCCTCTAAGCAGCACCAGGGCTGCCTGATTCTCAGAAGTATGAGGCTAGTGGGGACTGGTGTGCCCACATAGCCCCGAGGAGAAACCAAAACACCAAAGCTGCTGCCATTGCCGCCATTGGTGGCTGATGCAAGTTTTATTGAGACAATATACAAACAGGCCATGGAGAACAAGGGTATGAATGCCAGGACCAGTAACGCAAAATGGAATACAAAAATAAAAAGGCACTAATCTGTTAAGAAAAGACACTCAATGTGTTCTAAGAATATAAGTCATTTAATACTGTTAATTTTATAGCACAAAATAAAACAAGCTATGATCCCAAAAAATAATTTTAACAGCGTAACACAGAAAATATTATTGCCTGAAGTTCACAATCTTTTCAGTTACAGGTCAGAAGTTTCGTGGTGGTATTTGAGAGCACACAGTGAAGACCGTCTCGGAAGCAAGGCCACTGTCCCTCCTGCAGACATCGGTCCCGTCCATGGAACCGGCTGCCTCCACAAGCGCCATGTTCACAACCACAGCAGTGATGCCAGACACAGGCTTCCAGTGTCAGTGGGTGGACATGGAGGCCCATCTCAGCAGCACCCACTGAAAGCATTAGTCTAAGGTCTTGTGTTAAAAAACCAATTGAAAGTTCACGCATTTGAACAGGTTAATGAACAGAGTATTAAAGGACTAAATCATAAACACCTGGCACAAAAACACATCCCTTTTCAAACAGTTGTTCATGTTCCTCTGAGCAAACATGAGGGCCGAGGGCAGAGGGCAGGGTCAGGGCCTCTGGTCAGCCTTGCCTGTAAACAGCTGTGCAGGGAGGCTGGCATGCCGGTGCTTGTGCTCCGGAGGGTGCTGTCCTCCCCACTGGTCAGCTGTCTAGCCACAAACCCAGAACGGTTGATATCATGGAGACCTAGGCTGTCACATGGCCTCGTCCGTGGGTTCTTCTCAGGCCAAGTGGGTACACACAGCTCAGTAGCAACCAGGATGAATCCTGGTTGATAGGTCCTTCGCAGAGTAAACAAGTTTGGATTCAAACTGTCAATGCCCTTTAGGATGGAATTCATTTATTTCCCAAATAAAAAAAAAAGTCTCAGTGAAAGTAAACAATCAGCCAAATATATTTGGATGACACAAAGCAGAGCAGAGTATATATTATTGTGAGCTGTTGGGACGGGGATGCCCGTGGATGGTGGTAGACACCCAGGGCTGGACTGGCACTGTTCTGTGAAGCAGGCAGGGGCAGTGGGAGATCTAATGACAACGAAGACAGTGGTGCCGCTCTTGAGGTCTGAGTGTATAAAAGATAACCTCCTGGTCTGCACAAACCCCAACCAGGTTCCAATCTAAAGTTACAAATTTTGGCACATTATCACAACATTCAGAACTCTGGTCACAGGGAGAGTCCAATAGTCTGGTCATTTTGGACTGACCCTGGGTTTATTGAGGGAAGGGGAGGCCTGACTCTGACGGGCTCTGCTCAAGGTGAGCTTCGTAGACAATACCAGAAGAAGCCTTGCTTTCTCAAGTGGCTGTTCTTTATTGTGCACTTGAGCCAAGGTCAAAATCAAAAGATGTTGAGCTCCTCTGCTCAACTGGTCTTTAAAAAGCTTCAGTTTGGGGCCTCTCCAACCAAGGCAACACCTTCGGTACAACTCCAGAGCTAAGAGGGGCAAAGCTGAACCCATTCAGCATGGTTTTTGCCTGAAGATGGGCTGAGCTCAGAGCAGATGATACTTCCAGGTATTGTAGACAGGCAATGCCAGAATGGGAGTGGAGGAAGGGGCTGACTGCTAAGCACCCTCCAGGAAATCTAGGCTAACATGATCGTATCTTTCTCAGCATCACTGACTGTGTTACAGAACACTTCCAAGATTCTTTAATGCGGTAAAGAGAAAATGGCTGCTTGGTGGTTCCATCACCAGAATCCATTTCAAAATCCTCCAGCCATGGCTACAGCAGACGCTCAGTAAATGGTCATCTCTCAGTCTGTCTGGCTCTGAGCTGATGCTTGTCTGGACTAGAGGACAGAGTCCAGAGCAGAGTGGGCTACAGGGTTCCAGGCCCCTAAGCCTGCTCTGCACAGGAGACAAGGGTATGGACACCATCTGTTTGTTAAGTCTGTCTGAGCTTGACACCAAATTAGTGAATGGTTAACAGCAAACTGGCAAATGGTTTGCTCTGGTTACCCAAATAATCCAACATGAACTGTGCTAACATTCATAGCTTGCTTTTTGTTGCTTAATCACATAGTGGGTGATTACTTAATCACATCTCTGATGAGCTGGGCCTGGCTGTGAGGGCCGGATCCCAGGGAGCGGAATTTAATGCAATGATTCTTTGAAACAACCTCACTTTCAAGAGGAATTTAAAGTCCTATTAAAAAAGAATTCACTGGAAAGGTTGGATAAAAACTACCTTTCTGTCACAAGCTCTTCTGTCACTGGTAAGGTAAGCAAAGGTCTCCCCATTAACCCTCACATGCTTTCTGGGACAAGGTGATCTAAAAGACGGCACACACACCTTGGCACACCATGAGTACCGCAACGCCAAAGCACAAGGGTCCTGCTTCAGGCCCACTCTTCATCTCACAGAGCTAAGATGCTTCATTCGAGAAGCTGAAAGGCATGTGTCATTCCTTGCAAGATCACAAATATCCAACCTGCTACTTAGAAGCCTGTTCACAACACACAAGCCTAATTAATGAAGTCTTCCAAAACCAAACCAAACCAAACCAATCCAAATGCCAGATCTTGGGGAAGTTCCGGGTAAAACCATCTTCTTTTTGTCACTTTCACTGTTCACCACAAGAAAAAGATGGTGGCTGAGCTCCTGATTTAATAAACTGCAAGCTTCCCCTGATGAATGAGTGAGGTAACAGTATAAACTGGGTAGCAGGAGAAGGAAGCTCCCTTCCTCAGCCACATCTCTTCACTTGTGTGCTTCCACCAGGATAATCAGTTTGTGATCGGAAAGAACTCTAAAATCGGCTATCTGCTGACAATATGACTATGATACAATGCTGGAGGCAGCCTGCTGTGTGCATTCCAGATGTGTGTGAGACGCTCGTGTGGTGATGCTGTAGCACTGGCCCATGAGAGCGTGCGTTTCCACGCTGAGGAGACGATGGCAGGCAGAACATGAAGCAGCACGTACATGGGGCAGCAATCACTCATTTTCGTCTGGATTTTGAGGATCGATGATTTTGACATGTGTGAAGGGGAAGAGGCCTTTGCGCCCGTTCACCTCACCTTCCCACTGGCCGTTTATATTCATCCTTGTGACTTTCACAATATCACCAACCTGCAGAGACAGGAAAAGAGGACAGTGTTCAGCACACTAATGAAGAAAGTTTACATTAAATCACTGGTCCTGGTGTTAAAGCACCTGGAAACTGCCTGTTTTTGGTGCTGAACTTAAAGTCAAGCTCAACAAGGACATTGAATATGGAGATGGGAAGGAAGCCTGGCTCAATCCTTAGCCAGTGAAGGGCAGGAACATCAGGAGAAGCGGTGTAAAGCATGTATTTCCCACCCTCTCACCCCTTTCTTATTAGCTACAGAGAGACATTTGACTTCTATGGTGGTGTTGCTAGGTGCTATTGGGTATGACCTCAGAATCTCTGACACACTCAATCCCATTGCTGCAGTCACTATGTCAACCCACCTACTTGATGATCTTCCTCTCCTACACTTCCCCTCCACCTTTCCAAGCATGATGTCCCTCTCCAAGGAATAAGCTCTTCTAGCAACATGCCAAAGTATGCGAGATGAAGCTTCAACGTCCTTGCCATCCAAGGAGTACTCTGGCTCATCTTCTCCAAGATAGGTTGATTCTTTTGGCAGTCCATTCAGTACTCACTACAGTTCAAAGGCAAGGTTTTTTCCTACTGTCATCCTTAGTCACTGTCCAGCTCTCGGCAGCATGGCAACTGACTGAAAAGACCATGATCTGAATCACATGCACCTTAGTTCTCAAACTAACATCACTGCTCTTCAGTTTTGACTTTTACTAATTGGTTCAAGTTACACAAAAAAGTTTATTTTGGGGGGGAGGATCTGCCCGCTCAAATCTAAATGGGAGGATGGAGGACCTCCTTCACACTCTGCACTGTCTCTAAGAAGCATAGCTTCTCCAAGGTCTATCATTCCACTTCTGTGGGTACCTGCTGGGAGAAGTGGCCTGGTTATAAGCATCTTTTAGGGTTAATGTAAAACTGCAGGATGGGAAAAACTGTATCCACTATTCTAGAAGACAGACCCTATGACTAACTTGCTCATTAAGGGAAAGATACATTTAAGCAGGTATTTAATTTTGGAAGTAGTTCCCAACCAAACTGTCTGAGACCTACAACGCTTTAGAGGGTTATGTAGTTGTTACAAGTCTAAAAACTGTCTGACTGAAGTTTTTATTTTAAAATACAATTTTATAAAGTTAAAAATACATGATAGCCACTGACACATCAATAGGTAAGTCCCAACTAAGCTGCTGTTTCATGCAGACTTTCTTTGAAGTAACATGTCTTTTGGCATGTGTCTAACTGAAGACTACTCTCAAAATGACAAGGTATAAGGCTATGTCAAACCATGTAACAGAGTTAGATAAATGAGATGCTGCAGCCGAACTCAAGAATGCTGCCTGTCATTTATAGTGCTAGTCCCAATTTTCTCTGACCTTTTATGATGTTTTCCCAGTCACGTCATCAAGTAACATTTTATCATATACTGACATTTTATGTACCAGTCATTTGGAAAAGTCTTAGGTTAATGCTACTGATCTAGCAGGTTGATTGACTGCAGAGGGAAACCAAGAATATAAGAGGTTCTAAGACATCTTCTGAATCTCTGAAGCACAGCGGTGGGCTATAAGGCCTGCTGCTGCCAGCCAGAGTGCAGAGGGCCCAGGGCTCTCAGTGTTCTGTGAAAGCAGTATGAATGATATATTGTTCAGTAACTTTTGAACACTTCTGGAGAATGAGAACAAACATGGATCTCCTACAGTAAGCCAAAAGAACTGTCCCTTAAATTTTTTGGTATGACGAGTGAGCATGCAGTGACTGCATGTGTTTGGTTAAACACCATCAATTGGAATTCCAACAGTTCCCGGGGCCTTGTTTTTTAACAATGCCTACACTGCTCATCTTTTATTATTTCCTCAAATGGTTAAGTATCAATTCTTTCTGGTATAGTGACTATATTCCTTCTATTTTCTTTTGGTGCTTCCTGAATCAGTCAATATTTTACCCATAAGAGTTCTTCAGTATTGCATCTAAATGTGCTTTCTTCTGTTTTAGTTTCTGGTAACCTAGTGGTAAGAAACTGTGCTGCAATCCCAAAGGCACATGGTTCTAGTCCACCAGCTGTTCTGCAGAAGGATGGAAAATTTCCTTCCCACATGATTTACTGCCTCTGAAAAGTTGCCAGAGGTTTAGCTGTCAGTCAGTTCTGACTTGATAGCACGTACCAGCAACAACAGCCGCAGCAGCAGCATTATCTTCTACTTCGAAACTGTCCTTGAATCAAATTCCTAAAACCAGATGTGAAAGATAGTGATGCAATGTCAAAAAAGGAAGGATGGAGGTCATACCAAGTCAAATCCCTGGAAGGGAGCTGGAAATGACCCTGTGGGCAGCCATACACCAATGCACCTGGTCCACATACCCAACGTATTCCCTTAAGTGCATAGGAGCTCAATGGCATGACTTACAATAATAGTAAGGAGGGGGTCCCGCAGTTCAAAGAGCAGATAGAGTGCAGCCTCACAGGTGCCCAATCCAACGACTACTGGGCAAGTGCTACCACTTTCAACTCTACTAATATGTCATCCTGTGCTGCCAGTGAAGCCTCAGCCCAAGCTCCATGGACTGGCAAACTTAGTTCCTCCCCCAGGACCCCTAACCACAAGCCAGGCTCCACGGGTCCAGAAGCCCATTGCCTATTTCCTGGTCCTGCAGCTACTGTTTCGCTGCCGACATGTCTGATTATCTCCTGCCATTTCACCAGGCCATCAGAGAGCCTTGTTCCTGGGTATAGGAGATTCAGTGCAGTGGTCCGCAGGGCATTGATCGTGGCTCCTCTTTCCCAATGGTAGTGAGACTCCCTTTCTACCTCTGGGATGACTTAAAAATAGCATACTGAGAGGGAAAACCTGACTCATATCCTCATTAGGGTTGCATACACCTTATTTCCAAGGTTTCATTTACTTTATTTACATCATTGAGTTATCTAATCCTCTTGATGGGCCACAAGCTCCTAACAATTGCATACCCATGGCTCCCACCAGTCCTTGATAGGAGTTATAGTAACTGTCAACACAAGGGCTGTGTAAAGTAATTCCCTGCATGGTAATGAGACCCACCATCATCGTGCATATCAATTATAGCTCATTTAGCCAGAGGAAAGGAAGGATGATCCCTGAAAGATCAGAAAACACAACTACTGAAATCTAGGCTTGCTTTGTGGACAGTTTCACTCCATAACAAGTAAAAGTAGTACAGATACTGCTAATGTGAATTTACTTGTAATCAATAAATCAAGTTCAATGGATGAAGCTGAATCAGAAGAACCCAGACCAGTCAGTGGTGGAAGGTGCACCAAGGGGCCTTAGGATGGATAAAATAATAGATTCAATCCAACCATCAGAAGTTCCAAAACTGGGAGAAGAACATTAAAGAAGAGAAACCTGATGGGAGCAAGGAACAAGCATCTTAAGGATGTCCTTATTTTGGTAAGGTTAGGTGTCTACGTGCTGACTGATATGCCAGCAAGCAGGAATCAACCCAACACTGGCTGCTGGAGTCTGAGTTGGTTCAGCTGAATCTTCTGTCATAGAGGAATCACTCCACAAGACATTAGCCTCTTGATTTTCATCAAAAGACGGAAAACAGCAATAACTATAAAATGTAAACATTCACTGCCATTCATTCACAAGACTCATAGCTGGCCCTCCACTGGGTTTCTGAATACAGTGTCACTATACCAAAAGAATTGCTTGACATGGAACCATTTCAGGAAGACGCGTATGATCAAGAACCAATGGGAATGAAGTAAGAAGTTCAAGCTGAACTGAAGGCATTCGTAAAAAAATAATGGCCCAGGAATTGACAGGATACTAATTTACATGATTCAACAAGCAAATGTGCAAGACATCAGCGCAGCTTGAGGGTCCCTGCAGCGACAGTTTTCTAATGATTCCAGCTAGAGGGAGGGCGGGATGGCAGAGATGCAGGGTTGATGGTCCTGGTTGCCTAACGTCCGGAGGGCTGCTGCTCCGGGATTCAGTTGCTTCTTTGCAAGTGCGGACTAGAAAGGCCTCTTGGAAGCAGGACTTCTGAACCACAAAGATGGCTGGGAGGCTTTGGTGCAAAGTCACTTTTGCTGGCTATAAACGAGGTCTCCGGAACCAGAGGGAGCACACAGCTCTTCTTAAAATTGAAGGTGTTTATGTCCGAGATGAAACAGAATTCTATTTAGGCAAGAGATGTGCTTATGTTTACAAAGCAAAAAACAATACGGTGACTCCTGGTGGCAAACCCAATAAAACCAGAGTAATCTGGGGAAAGGTAACTCGTGCGCGCGGAAACAGTGGCATGGCTCGGGCCAAATTTCGGAACAACCTTCCTGCTAAGGCCATCGGACACAGAATCCGTGTAATGCTGTATCCCTCGAGGATTTAAACTTATTGAAAAGCAAATAAAATTATGGATTTGTTAAAAAAAAAAAACCAACAAGCAAATGTGTCCATGAAGGTGTTACCAGTCTGCCAAGAAATTCCTAAGACTGCTCTCTGGATGAGATCCATTATTTATACCCATTCCCCCACACAGTGATCATGGAGAATTTAGAAATTAATGGCAATAGCATTACTATCACATGTAATAAAATCTAAAAGACTGTCCCAAAATGGCCAGAACAGTGTATCAACACTGCCAGAAATTCAAGCTGGAATTAGAAGAGGCTGTGACACAAAGGGTATCACTCCTGATGTCAGACAGATCTTGGCTGAAAGCAGAATACCAGAAGGATGTCTACCTGTATTTTACGGACTATGCAAAGGTATAAATTATGGCTAACTTAGAGAAGAATGGGGAATCCCAGAACACTTAATTGTGCTCATGTGATCTATACCTAATCTAAGAATCTATTGTCTATAAACAGAATGGAACACTGCACGATTCACAAACAAGAAAGGTATGAAAGAGGGCTGCATCTTTTCTCCATAGCAATTCAGTTTGTATACTAAGCAAATAATTTGGGAAGCTAGACTATATAAAAAAGAATGTGACAGAATTTGAGGAAGACTCA